CACCCTGGTAGCAACGAAAAAAATTTTTCCAGAAATCCTTCCTTTTCCCCTGTTTTGACCATGGCGGAACCAGTCCCCCCCCCCCCCCCCCCCCGGAATCAATTCCGTCCAATTCCAAGGACTCGATCATGATTGTAAAGAACAAGCCTAATCGATATTCATCGAGTTCCGTCAATTTCCGGAATTCCGGGAATTGTGTTGAAACGGAATTCCTTATAATTCCCTAATTCCGGGAATTGCGTTATAATAGAATTCCATCTGATTCCGGGAACTCCTTCCAATTCCGCAATTACTTGGAATTCCTATGAATTTCGTCTTCAATCAATTCCCGGAATTACTTTTCGCCCTCATCCACACTCGGGGTGGTGTGTTTGAAGACTAGTACATAGGATAAGTTAGTGATTCCGGAAATTCAGTCGAGATGGAATTATTTGGAATTCCTTCTGATTCCGTAATTCCAGGAACTCCTTCCAATTTCGTATAATTCCGGAATTGGAAGGAATTTCTCCAATAAAACTTTTCACATTTCATCACAGTGTAGTAAGCTTTTTTGGTGAAGTTACTGAATATATATCATCCTAAATAGCTTTAAGAAGAGAGATATTCTGTCATCATTTCCAGCGCCGCTAATTGCAGTATAACACAAGCTTAGAAAACAAATTGAACACATCATCCTGGTGCGTGTCAGAAACATCATGAATTTCACCGACATTGTCTTCGGTGATTATTTTAAATTTTTCAGATCGTAGTCGAATTTCTACCGCAGCAATTTTACAAAAAAAGCTGAATTGCAGCTATAATGCATCAGTCAGTTGAATTGGTTTTATTGTAGCTGACTTGTAGTTGTAGTTTGATAGTTGTAGAACACTCGAATTTGGTCATCATTAAATAAAACTTCACAGAGTAGGTCATCGAACTATAAAAAACGCATGTTAATCTGTTAAACTGTTCAAGAGATACGAACGTTCTTTTTTTTTTCGACTGAACTTTTAGAACACTATATTTCTTGTTGACCCTTTAGCGTTAGTCGTCTTCTGTCTATTCACACTGGTTAATTGTCAACCATTTATGTAAATATTAAATACAAAATAAAATCATTTAAATGCAATAAAAACCTGAACATATGATGCATTTACTTTGCTAGTTGTAGCAGTATGGTTGAATTTATATAGGCTTTTTTAAAAAGGCATCGTGCGTAGTTAAATTTGCTGGCGACAAACAATTTAAAAAATGTGTCTCGTTTTTAACTCCCTTAATCGAGATCGAGACACAAGTGATTTTTCATTGAGAAAAAAAAATAATATCTGTTCCTTAATTATATCATTGATATTTTATCGAATATATATTTGTCGTCTTTATTTAGTACTCGTAAAAGTCAATATTTTATCTTTCAATTAGCTTTTGTGTTCTCTCTGTAGCTTTTTTGTATTACTTTTATTAAAATCTTTCGCAATTCATGTTAACTACAATATATTCAGTTTGACTTTTCTTACATTATTACGATGGTATCATACGACATTGTATCCCATCAAATAAATGTATATGTCGTAGGCCAATCTGAGATTGACCTATGACATATATAAATCATACTCTACAGATAGAACTACGTAATTTTTTCAGGAACTATTCGTTAATAGCAATAAAGAATAGTAATTTTTGAAAATTGAAGAATTTATTTGAATTCAAAATATTTTTCATTTAACTGTTGAACAACTGTTTCAAAGTGAAATGCATCTGATGAAATAGAACGCAAAAAAAAAGAATATTCGTTCATTCATTACTGTTTCCATGGTAACGATCACATTCCACATATGTTGCTATTCTTTATTTGAATGATTAACATAAAAAAGAGAAAAATTCGTCCGTTAATGAATATATAAAAGAGAGTATATCTAGAAATAGAGAAGTAATCATTTGTATCGATATATATGGCATTAATTACATGTTTCAACGATCTACCCGATCTCGTATTAATTGAACTCTTCTCGTATTTATCATCTTATGATATTCTTTGGGGATTTATTCATCTTAATCAACGTCTAACTATGTTAATTATTGAACGAGGTTTCTTTTATTATATTAATTTATCACTTTCATATTATCATCAATTTAATAAAATTCTTCATTTTCTTCCATTAAATTCAATTCAATCACTTGCAATTGATAGTGATACATCTCCACTTCAACTAACTCGTCGGTCTTATTTGTCTAGTTTAACAACTCTACGTATCATTGGCACATACAATCATGATGATCTTTTACTGTTTCTTTTGCTTCATGCAGCCACACTTACACATCTTATCATCAAATCAAATGAAAGAATAATTCCGGTAAGTATCAACAGCTTGTTTCAACACATTTAAAACTATATGAAGAATGGTGGTTATTCGAAAAAGAATTAAAAATACTGACGTAATGGTTTCTTTTCACAATATCTCTAAAAAGAAAAAAACAGACTGTTTGATTGAATTGTCTAAAAGATGAATTCTTCTCATTATTTGAATATGTCAAATTGATTAAAATTTCAATAAAATATGTTAGAAGTGACTTGAAAAGAAATTTTTATAAAAATATTCTTCAAATTTCATTCGAAATAGCTTGTCACATGCAATAAAATAGTAAAACAAAAAGTATTGAGTTAAATGCTTTCAAGTACTGTGCAATATACAAATACACATATAGTTCAATTATGTATTTGATTAAGAATAACTCGAACTTAGTAATTCTCATCGAAATAAAATATTAAAGTGTGTCGTCCTAGAAATATATTGAAATATAAAATAGATTTTACTTGTTTAATAAGAGAGACTTTTCTGAAACAATCCTATGAAATCATTTGACTTTTCATTGAAGAAAACAAAATAGAACTAAAAAACATGTCACATTATGAAATAGATGTCAATAATTTTGATTGACAGATTATATCTAGATTATGAAACAAGATACAATCATATAACGAAATTAATTCATTAAACAGAAGCGAACATTTGTAACTTCAATAAACTAATTATTTTGAAAATCTCCATGAGATGAAACGTCGAACAAGAAAAGTGTCATTCAATGATAATCTATATAATTAAATAAGAATTATTTCGAGTCTCTAGATTTGCATTGCTTCCGACAAATTGTTCAGAGAAAACTTCTTATAAATAAGTAAATTTTTAAAATAGTTTATATTAATTGTACATAATGACGACTTGAGTAGAAACATTACTTTGACAATCGTTTTTTTTTTCAAATCAAACTACTGTCAACTTGAATCTTACCATCAAAACAAAAATTAGTTAACATTAGTCTTTATTCATAATTCAATGATATTTCTATAGTATTGTTTTTTTTTTCAAGATGGTTTTTCGATTAAATTCGAATATCCAACAGGTGCCATGATGTGGTTAATAAAAAATATTCTTCTTCTTCATTTACCTGCACTTCGATCTCTCGACTTGGGCATGGAATATTACAAAACACGTTGGCACATTACTACTACAGTTGTTTCTCTTACATATATACGTCTTTGTTTACCAAGTACAGATATCTTAGGTCGTCTTATGTCAACACCACCATTCTCCAAGACATTACGTCAATTACATGTTAGATTAAGTTACAAATTGATTCATCAATTTTTGCTGATCATCGTCATGTTGATGTTAATTTCTCTTTTAAACTTATCAATTGTCCTCAATACATCAACGTTACACAATATATACCATGTGGTGGTCAATATCGTTCACGAGAAATTGTTGGTGCAACATTCGCTGTTAATTGTTGGTCTGATAAATCAAAATGGCTCACTGATGGCGATCCTTTTCCAAGTAATTCTTAGTATTTCATTTCAAAATAATATGAAAGAAAAGGAAATCTTTTTTCTTTAATTGGTAATCTAATCATTTATCTAATAATATATTAATGTATTGTTTATATTTGTAGAGTCATGGACGTAAAGATTATCATCATATGTGATATACTCTTCCGTGGGTATTTGATGAATTCTTTCACGAATATCTTCCTCGCGATTGGATCACGAAAATAGAAGTATTTCAAATATCTTCTCACAATACTATGATTATTTACCAATCATCTCTTCGTACTCGCGATGCATCTGGTGAAAATTCGACATCATCTATGTGCTCTTTACTTCATTTGACACAATTCAATCATATTAAAACATTTCACCTGTCCTATTATAATAGACCTATTAATATGCATTTATTTGCTCTTCGCAATCTAACTCTTGTCAATAGTATCAATTGTCTGAATAATAGTTCTTTTTTTTCCAGCAACTATTCGTTCCATTCGTATTCTACTTTTTTATGATTATTCTAACTATATGATACCAAACTGGCCAGTGGTTTTACATTCATTGTCATGGTTGCCACAATTGAGTTCATTACGTATATTTATGTATGACATGAGCAAAACTGTTGATCAAAGAAGTTGTGAAAGAATTGCAGAGGCGGCATGTTTACTCACCGATTTTGGCTTTTGTTTTCGAACAAAATACAGCTTATCAAGAGACTTTGACGTCGATACCGTATTTAACGACCATATAAAATTTATTAAACAATTATGTCATCGCATTCTTCTGTTTTCTTTTGACAAACAACCTTATTATTCAATTGAAGATGATGGTTGTAGACTGGCTGTGTGGTTTTAATTAATGCAAAAACTGACAAACTAATATTTTCAATTATAATGAATCTAATCAAATAGTTTTTTTTTGTAAAGACATTAACAATTATTGTTGTTATTCATTTTTTTGTTAAATATTATAAAAAATTGATCATTAAGTCACATCGTCTAAGAAAAGCTTTTACTGACAATATGAATTCTCTAGATTGACTGAAAGGTTAGGGTATAGAAACTGGAATTCATCTGTGTCTATCTGAAACATAGTTGCTATATGGTAACTATGGCACAATTGAGTACTTGATAACTGCGTTTCAAAGCACGGTGGAGAATATTTTAAATATCATCTAGGCACTACAATTCCAATTAACTGCTCGTTATGAGCTATATAGAAGTTTAATCAATAAGGATTATTTTGTATGTTTTCGTACAATTGTCAAATGTTTCCTTACTGCTGCATTAGACTTTTAGAAAGTAAAGTAGTTGGGTGTAACGGAAAGCAATTCCTTAAATCTTTTTTACCGACGGCAGCTATGATGACGATATCAGCTTACAAAAGAAATTCAAGCAAGGAAAATCACTTCGAATTGATTTTTACCGTGAAGATGATCACACTTTGAACAAGTATTCAAAATAAAGATGGACAATACCAATGGTTAAAGATCTTTTGACAGAATAGGCATCTGCAGCTGCTATATCTTAGCTAACGGAACAGTTTTTGGACATTCATGAGAAAATCATCGTTTTCTTTGTAGATTTTCCGAAAGAAAAAGTGTTGTCGCATACGTTTTAGAGTACTTCGTAGGACTTTCCTCATTGTCGGCGGATACACTAGCTACGATTCTTTAGAAATGAAACTCCTTACAAAATAAGGTCTACTAAAAATCGGATAAAAGAGACTGTATAAACTTGTTTAGGTAGAATACGCTTATGCAGATTCTAAAAAATGGGCGTGGGTGTGTGGGTGGAATGAATACCAACACCCACATCACATCCATACCCACACACCCACACCCACACCCACACCCAACATCCTATTATCCAAATATACCATCAACAAATAATACTTATTATACTTCACAACGTCCAATAACACCATCATCTGGTTATGATATGCCTATGGCACGTGGTATTCGACTAACATCTGTACCAAGAGTGCTTATAGAACATTACCAGTTCAACCATGAATATTTGTTCCACCTTTAACAAGTGATCTTACAACAGGTATTAATAATAATAATACAATGGGACTTCAATCAACGCCACCTCCATCATCTATAACTCCTCATTAATGAAACGAACATTTTCGTCTTTATTTTGCTATTTATATTATCTTTGTTGTATGTTTTGTCTAGCTTCTATTTTTCGAATCTATTTGTTGCCGACTGATTTTATTCTTTTCATGAAATTACTCATAAGAAGAGTCCGGCAAAGAAGGAACTATGAGATGATTCGTTTTTCTTTTTTTTGTTTTAAATTGATCTTTATCCCATATTTATATGTAACAAAAAAAATGTATCTCGTGCGCTTTTTATCTTTCTTGTGTGTATGTATAGTTGTTTTAATCTTGTTTTTAATGCGATATGACAAAAGAAAAATATCTACATGCATTGTTCTGCTTTGCAGTTTTGTTTTTGTGATTGCTGGTATACATTGCTGTTTGCTGTGGTGGAACAAACATGAATTTCTTTTCTTTTTGGTTGTTGTTATCAATTGTCTCTCATAGTTCTCTTTGTCAGCTTCTATTTTTCATAATAAATATTATTGTTGTTTTTGGCTCCGTGCATTACATTCTTCGTTGTTATTGTTTTCGTGTCTTCTGTTTTCTTTTTTTCTTTTTGTTTCTTCTTGATTTCCACAAGGAGAATGAGTCCGTTTGTAAGGGGAGAGCGACAATTGGTCGAACGACAATTAGTCGCTACGGCAATTAGTCGGACGAGAAATTGGTCGCAAGCTTATCAATGACTAAAAGAACATCTAATAGTTGTCTGTAACAACTTAATTGACTTAGCAATGTAGACTAACATGCAAGTAAAGTTCAACAGATAGTAAATAGCTTATCTAATTAATTAAGAATGCCAGAATATTTCTAAAAGGACAAAATTAAGTGGAACTTTTCCGATATCATGTAATTTATTACTATTTCTAAAACTGAAAAATATAAACCATTAATATTACACAAAGAACTCAAATGCAATCACACAATTAATAGTTAATAGGTCTACAAATTAAAAAAATTATTAGAAATGTTGTTTTTTGTCGAAAAATTAAATCTAAAAGAAGAAAGAATACATACAGATGTCAATATTACTACTATTTTTCACAAGGGGAAAGCAGTGAATTTTTCGGATTCATTAAATCCGGAAAAATGCGTTATAAATCAAAAAAATTCCGAAATTCAACGGTGTTGTTTCTATGTGAATGACATAGTTTTGACCTGAAAGTCTTCCCACATATAGGTCTCATGGTTCGTAGAATATCCTAAAAGTTTCAACACAAACAAATGTGTTTTTGTTGCAATATTGAATTTTTAAAGAAACTTTTTGCAACCACGCTGTGAGATATTAGTATTTCTTACACATTCCCTTTCTGGAAAAGAATACATCCGTTTCGGCTGAAATTTTTAGAATATTATAAGATCATGAAGCTACATCTGAAGAAAAACTCAGCTGAAAATTTCATGATTCACGGTTTGGATTTTTGGATTTTCAAAATCTAAAAATCCCCAAATCGGCTTTTTCTCCCTTCATTTTGCATCGAAGTATTTAGAGTGTATCAAACGTCTGAAGACCTTAGTATTTGTTTCAAATTTAACTCTAGTTGTATAGTTAGGCGAACTAGCACTAAATTTGTAATTATATTAAGCATTAGTGTACTTTAACTTCTTCTGTCGCTCTTGTTTTACTGTTATAATATGTGAAATTTTTTTGTCATTTAATCAATTTTTCTGTAATTTAATCACGTGTATGCGACTAATTTCGCATGCGACCAATTTTCGTAGCGACTAATTGTTGTTGCGCCCAATTGACTGCGCCTGATTGTCTTTCGACTAATTGTCGTTCGACCAATTGTCGTACACCCGTTTGTAAGTGTTTGCATCATTCTTTTCTAACGGTATGAGTCTGCATTTTTTTGTCATTACAAAAATTTTTCTCTCTTCTTTTTTTTTCTACTTGTAACTTGTACTAATAATATGAAAAATAAAGCCAGATGGTCGAATGAGAAGATGAAATTAAAGAAGCTGATGTACAAAACATAAAAAATATACTATGAGCAATATCTATCGAGTGCATGAACATGATTTGTTTTCATAGAAATATATTCAAATATAAGATTGATGAAACGCAAAATACCTTTAATTTTAAATTGAGCATACGTATAGGTTTTGTGTTCATTCGCATCCTCATTAAAAGCAATTTTAAGTAATTACAAATCACCAATCAAAATGAAAGAAACCTGCCGTTCTGATTCAAAAGATTGATATTTATCAAATTTCGATTATAGACCACTACGATAGTTTGATTTGGGTGGCAATAACGAATGAAGGATGATGATCTTTCGCTATTTGCGTTTCGCTCATGGACATCATTTCATGTTTCTAACGTAAGTAATGACTGCACGAATTAAGTTCACCAATGCCATTAGATAGCTCTTATATTAGTACAATATCTAATGTGTCAAACTTTGTATGGCTTTCTGTAGCAAATGACATCATTTTTGGTTTTATAAAAACAAAAATTAATAGACAGAAATGTAAAGAATGTCATGCTCTATGTCTCTGTTTTATTGAAAGTGAGGTCTAAGGGAATGGCAAATTTATGATATCATCCAGCGATCACTTTCTCTTTGGTAATTTCAATGAAACTTTTGCTTATGACCAACGAATTCTTTTTCTGATTATAGAAGCAAGTTCCTAGTTTTTATCATACAACAAGAACTTATACACACGCTTCAATCCAGCACAGTAGATTTGAACGCAGAAGTTGACCGTTTTTATCAGGTATGCCGAAAAATCGTCAACAATGAAATCCACAAGAATATCCAAAAATTTATTAACATATTTCATTTTACATAACTTGTTTCGCTGATCATTTTTATAAAAAAAAGCAATTCTAGTATCATTAGCAAATGTTACTGCTAGAATTGAATGATTTAGCGAATTGAAAGAATTAAAAAAATATGAGAAACCAAAGATCT